TAACACTTTAGTCTCGTTGCTTATTAGCATGCATATTACTATCATATTGCCTATTTATTAGTACTTATAAAGCACATATTAATGGCTTGTTCTGCATGATCATATTTTAGATCCCTTAATTCTACCCCATACCTAAACTTAACAACTACTTTACTATTAATACGCAGCAAATTAGAAGTTTGAGGCAAAAGTCGTAAATAATAGTTAATGGTGAGAAGTGGTCCCTAAACTAAAGTGACCAAAAATATTGTGTAAAAACACTGTAAAATATAAAGCACCTGTAGTAATTGAGGCAGAGCAGAACCCCCAGCGCTAAACTCAGCTGGCCTCCGAGGAAAACCAGAGCCTGAAACGATGTGATCTCCCCCGATGCAATGGGCCGAGTGGCTGTCCTTGACACCTACCAAAAATATGACACATGCCAACATCAGATTCCAGCAGCAGCCAAGATCAAATCCAGGCGGTCTGTTTTCTTTCCTGAACCTTGCTAAACAGTCTAGCTGTAACAATCATTTGACCCACCTTTTCAAGATTCAACTTGATTAAACTGACAAAACATCAACAACAACCCACATCCTTGAACACTCATACCAACTTTATTCTTTCTACAAACTACACTCTTAAAAAAATAAAGGTTCTTCATTGGCATCTATGGTTCCATCAAGAACCTTTAACGTTCATGGAAACTTTTCATTGCACAAGAGATTTTTTATAGTAGAAAAAGTTTCTTTAGATTATTAAATTGTACTTTTAAAGGAATAGTTCACCCACAACAACTGTTACATTACCAGCAGTCTTCAAAATATCTTCTTTTATGTTTAACATAAAGAAACTCATACGGGTTTGGAACGACATGAGAGCGAGTAAATGATGACAAAATTTTAATTTTGGGTTGAACTATCCCTTTAAGAACTATTCACTGAAAGGTTCTTTGGGGATCCCAAAATATTTTTTTTTATGGCATTGTTGCAAAAACCCCTTTTTGGAACCTTTATTTGTAAGAGTGTAGTACAAATCATACATTATTGTTTAAACTGATTTAGTATTCTGCTTAAATTATACACCTGTATAATGTTATGCTTATACACTATTTTTATAGTACTAAATGAAGCTTCAATGATAATTAATTTGACAAGTCAAGCAAGCCTCTCAGGTCTGTTAACTTCCTATGTTCACAAAAACACCAAAGTCTTCCACTTGAGTTCTATATCAAATCGTCATTATAATCCGTAATTATGTCCCCACTGGATGCAACAAATGCCTTGTTTATAATGGGTTTTAATGTTTTTTATCAGGGCATCACAGTATGGTAAGGGCCGTAACATTTCCGTCACACGCTTGAGATATTCAGCCAATCACAACGCACTGGATAGCTGGCCAATCAGAGCACACCTCGCTTTTCAGACCGATGAGCTTTGTAAAAATTGACGCGTTTCAGAAAGGCGGGGCATAGAGGAGAAACAATAATGTACAGTATGTGGAAAATAATGTGTTTTTTGAACCTTAAACCGCATAAACACATTTCATTACACCAAATACACAAAATAAACTTCTTTTTAGCAGCATCATATGACCCCTTTAAAGTGAGAGTTCACCAAGAAATTAAACTTCTGTCATCATTTACTCACCCTCATATTGTTCCAAACATGTATTACCATCAACATTTAAACTATCTCCTTTTGTTTAACAGAAATAAAGTTATACAGGTTTGAAATAACATGAGGGTGAGTAAATTATTATTATTATCTGACATTGATTATGGCCACTGTTACAGCAAAATCGCCCAATTCCTTTGACACACTGACCCAGGTAAGATTAGGAGATATGTTAGGCTTAGTCTGGATGAGAAGATGGCAAAAATGAAATTTAGACCACTAGTGGAATAGATATCCACCACTTTGAATGTTCTGACAATGAAGCAAAAAGTTGACTTTCTGGGACTAAAGGAAGAACATGACGCAGGAAACAATCAATCTACTTCTATGTATGTACTCTTACCTTCTTGTCGAAGTCTTTATCCCACATGTCATTGATTGTGCATCCTGCTCCTCTCATAAGCAAAGCTCCCACCCCGAAGAGCGCAAGCATGCGCAGATCAGGAAGGCATCCCGGGTCTGCCGCCAACCCAATACTCCACATACAAGGCAGATACAGCAGCCACGTTCCTACAAGAACACAACAATTTATATTTCACTGAAAAACCAGCTTGCAACCAAAAGGACACCCTGGAAAATGAGCTCAGCTCACCTATGGGTTTGTCCAGTCTCATTAATCTGAGGTACGGCTGAACGGACGCCGGGGCTGCGTTCACAATCCCAGCAGGCGTGAGGCTGAAGAACCTTCTGCCACAGCTGTGACCTGCCAGTAAAGGAGGCCATATTCTCTGTTTGTGATCGTCACTTTTGTTAAAAAAGCAGGATCCAGGCTGACAGAAGGCTGTGGTGATGTTTTCATGCTGCCTTCTGAGACTTGAAAGACGGGCAGAGCAGATCTGTGGAAGACTCCTCCTCACTGCATGTGGTTGAAGCAGTGCCAGTAGTCTGGTGGACATCATCTTGTCTGTTGAGCTGTCATGACCAACTTTTAGCGAGAGATGTCACGACTGCAAAGTAGCGAGGCGCTTCATTGTATACTTGCATTCATGTGCAGATGAGGACCGATATAAAGTTGGTTCGACGTTTGAGGTTTGACATTTGTCAGAGATTCAGCCTCGGAAATCTTCGATAGTTCTTTAACGATTTAGCACAAGGACAAAAAACATAATGTGTTATAATTGTTTTCCACACAATGTGTTTTATTTGTTTTAATCTGCTTTAAGGTATTGTAACTGATAGACCTTATAATGTAAATGTGCAGGATAGGGACCGTCTGCAAAGTGTAAAACGAAGAGCAAAAAGCACAATTATTCCATCTAAATGCTTCACTTGTGAAATGTATAAATATATATCTCAAATATAAGGGGTGTGTCTTATTACTGGTTCATTCAAGAACATTTAGATGTTGGTTTTATTCACAGAACTATAGCACAACAAAAGTTATTGAAATGGAACGATTGAGAAAAAGCTTGCAAAGCATTACAAAGATTGTGCAGTTTACCGCACCCTAGAGGAAGATATTGCATTTGTTTTGACCAAGTTTGACATTCAGACATTTAAATAACTTAATTTAGAATGCACACACACAGTTTGATATCTAAACTTCAAGGGGTGTGTCTTGTTACTTCAGTTCTACGTTTTAATGCTTTTCAGATAAGCCATTTTTTTTATACTCTATACTCATCCACTAAGAATTTATTGAAGTTTTTCGCGGCTGAATATCTGTCTAATATCCAACGTCAAACGTCGAACCAACTTTATATCGGTCAGATGAGGGAGCTCTTCAGTAACAATGAACAAACAGCAGAGAACACAATGCACAGAATTCAATACAGATTACTGACGAGTCATGAAAATGTCAAGTTGAGTGAATAAGGCTTTTGTCTTGTAATACTGTGTGACAGTATTCTGTAAGAGTAGTCAAACTTGATACAACTTTAAGATATTCAATATTATGCTGCTTGTGTTACACTTAAACTTGGCTATGACCATTGAAATAACCCCTTACTGACTAATCAATGGTGTTACAAGCAATAACAAGCGTTGCTAATATGTTAAATACGGTGGGAAGATAGATCAGCATTGTCAATCTTCTTTGAATCGTTTGTAAATCATTCATGTCTATTTGACATATTGAACTTACAGCGCTCTGTGACAGCAATTTTGAAGTCCTTTGCGTTGTGTGCGCCGACCTCGTGTTCCCCTGAAACATTTGTTTTTCGAGTGGTTCCGCTTTTTGAATTACTCTACTGTACGTATGCTTTCTTTCATGATATTCAGTATTTGTAAACTCCGATGTAAGATTACATGTACAGAAATACCAGTCAACAGATGCTATAAAACACAGTATTAGAAAATATGCTTTAATTAAAATTACTACATCAAAGCTGTTTTCATTCAAATGTATTAAGTTTCAATTAAAATGTAATGTACAGATGACACCGTTCATAATGATTATGGATGTCTTTTCAAAGCAAGCATTGTAACAAGTTATAACATTATAACAAATATAAATACATTAATATGTTATATAGCATGGTCATAAATGAACCAAAATGACCTACATATTTTAAATAAGAGACAAAAATGTACTTTTGTATACATTTATATGTATACAAATACAACTTTGTATGTGGTGAATTCCTCTGTTTTTAACATTGGATGGGCTTTGTTTTATAATATTTTATTCACCAATAGTATGGGTTTAAATAAAATGACAACTCTTTCTCATAAATGTAACTCTCAGTTTATTTCACAGGCGGTCTCTGCTCCTTCTCTCCATCCAGATGTTTACGATTCCAAATTAAAACTAAATAAAATTGTGTATTTTGACTGACTCTTTTAAAATCTCGCGAGCCAATCTGTTAAACAGTACCAATTACCTCCCTCGCGTGGTTATTGGAATCCATTACAATTTACCAGTGATGTTGAAAATTAAAAAGAACAAATAAATATACACATTTGTCTGAGTACAGGTTTGATTTTTTTGATTTGTGTTATTTGCATGTTCTGTGAACTATTGACATAACATTTAATATACTACACCCAGTTGTTTCTTATACCGTCATAATGTAGTCCATATGAATTTATATATATATTATATATACTTGTTGTTCATTAATATTATCCAGTAATTATTTGTGTAATTATACTTACAACAAGAAAACCTTAAAGTGCAACCTACTTTTTAAATTTATTGTTAAAAAAATCCAGTGTTCAGTGTTCAGTATCAGGTCAAATGTAAAATGGTGGTAATCATAATACTGAATGATTTCTACATTTTCTAAATGTATCATGATATTTACATTCTGTAAAGAATACCATGGTGCAAATACACAGTATGGTACCATGTCCAAAAAAACTTTACCATACCAGTGCACTTTTGGTACTTTTTTACTTGAGTTTTAAGGACTACATACTGTTGTTCACTTTGCTGTTTTGTTTTTTGTTCAGTGATTCAGTTCAGTAACCACAGGAGATGTGTTAAGAGTCCTCAGCAGTAAAGAACAACTTTGGGTCACTGGAGTGGAGAAATGGCAGGTGACAAAACTACATCTGAGGATGTGCGCTCCTCCAGAGTCATCAGGGTGGTTTTCTTGGCACTGCTGCTTGACTTGCTGGGTTTCACATTAATACTTCCCCTGCTCCCCTCCATCTTGGACCACTACAGTCACACTGGGGTAAGATCATTTTTTTAAGGTTAGGCCTATAATTTGGATATTTAGTTGTTATGAAATCTCAAAAGATGTTTGGCTGGCTGTTTGTTCAACAATAAATGCTGCTGTATTTGACCTAGATTAGTCATGCATGCAATTGTGTGACAGTGCATGATTTACCATATTCCAGTCATGAAATGTTCCCCTACTTATGACTGTCTAATTGATGTTACCTAAAAGAAAGGATATACAGAGCATTTCCTGTACAAACGTCAGCAGTGACTTAAGCAATTACATACTGGATGAACTTTATAATACTATATGCTTTGTTCAAGAGATAAGTCTGTGGAAAGCCTCCAAGCTCAGAGCTGTTCTTTCTCATTTAATGAAGCTGACAATGGCTTCATTCACGTTTTCATCTAGCGCACTCAATGAACGATTCCAATTAATGTGTTATACTTGACAGTGTATAACATTTTTTGCTCTGTTACATTTTCCTCCACTGGATAGTTAAATGGGGTTCTTACTCAGCATTTATCTTGTTTTCCAGTTTGAATATCTAAACATTCTTAAATCAAAATACATTCAATTTATAAGCAAAATGACTTAAGTTAAGGCTTTAAAAGTATATCAAAATCAGGTGAGATTATGCTAAAAAAAATCTTGTCAGTTGAGTAAGAAAAATAAACTTAAATCATAGGAATAAAAGATAATTTTTTTACCCCACTGACAGCATAAATTCACTTAGTTATGATACATTTGTCAGAAAACAAGACCTAATAGCTGCGTCCCAAATGACGCACTATACACTATGCACTTATACACTATGTACTTATGCACTATGTACTCAACCATGTAGTGTATGAATTATATAAGGTTATTTTGTCATTCATAAACGGAGTCTGATAGCACTTCCCCCTTCACTAGGTAATTAAACCTGCGACAGTTGAGTGCATGAAGTGTTCAACATTCCACACTTCGTTTTTTCGGGTATTTAAATGCATCATCCGGGTATTTAAAGTGCACTTTTTCTTTTTGGAATTTTCAGTGTGAACACACTACTCACACTATTTATACTACAAAACGTCATAGAATAGTGCATAAGTACGCGATTTGGGACGCACCAAATGTCTTAAGTAATTTTCCTTCTATATATTTGTAATGGAAAACAACAAAAAGAAAATCTTTTTTTTTTTTTACTGTGTATATAAAAATAGCTTTCACTTCACTTCATTTTCACTTCATTTTGCTGTTGTAATCTCTGCATCTACAGGACAGTGTGTATCAGTCATTACAGAGCATAGTGGACTGGTTCAGAGGGGCGGTTGGAGTTCCTATGGAAACGAAATATAACAGTGTTCTTTTTGGAGGTAACTTCATTACTCTGATGGATGTTGGAGGTTTCTTTAAAGGGGTCATATGATGCTATTTTAAAGATCATTATTTTGTGTATTTGGTGTAACAGAATATGTTGACATGCTTTAATGTTCAAAAAACACATTATTTTTCAAATACTGTACATTATTGTAGGTCCTCTATGCCCCGCCTCTCTCAAACACATCGTTTTCAACAAAGCCCCCTCCTTCCGACAAGCGCAGTCTGCTCTGATTGACCAGCTGACCCAGTGCATTGTGATTGGCCGAACACCACAAGCATGCGTCGGAAATGTAACGTCTCTTACCATAATCGCATAATTCAAAGTAAATATCAAGACAGTTAATAATGTCGTTAGTTTTACCACAAATTCGAACATCTGGGTTGTGCTGTTCTGTTGTAAATAAATCTTAACCAATGATTCCTAATTGCATCTACTTCCGGAAGGCCAAATAAAGTGCTTTTGCTTTAGCACTGAAAAACACACCGTCTCCCTGACATGGCTGCATCAACACTACTGCTGTTCCTGAAACCACGCCTTCTTTCTTTGCGTGCACATTTGGGCGGCATTATGCTAATATTTCCACATAGTGACCTAGATATGTGGGGGCGTGTTAGAACGAGCCGTTTTAGGTAGGCGTGGCTGACTCTTAACTTTTATAAAGAATATCTCTTTGGATTTGAGACTTTAGTCTTTGCAACTTTACAGATCTTCTTTACGCACCAAGAGCTTGTAACACTCCAAAGAGAAAGGAAAACTTGAAATCGCATCATATGATCCCTTTAAATGCAGCACATAATTCAAATTGACCTTTTGTATTGAAGACAGGTACATTGTTTATCTTCATCTCTGGTGTCTTAGGTCTGATAGGCTGTCTCTACAGTTTGCTACAATTTCTGTCGTCGCCCATTACTGGGGCTCTTTCAGATGATTATGGAAGAAAACCACTGCTGCTGTTAACAACCGTAAGTATAGACAAAATTAGATCATACAGGGCAGGGATTCCAACTTTTTTGTCAGTCAAACCCTTTTGACCTAAAATATTTAATGAAGTACACTCTGCGATTTTTAGTTAATATTTTAATAATTTAACAAAACATTTGCATGTTCTTGTGTTGGTCACATGGCATGCAGATAAACAAATAATAATTATTTATTAATTTTTTATGATTTAATGAATCCTGGTTTGGGAAACCCATTTATAGGGTATTTATTAATATAAATTGAAATCATAACATATTACCATTAATGTATGTCTATGCAGTTACTAATAGAAACTCGTTTCTGCCACAGAATAAAAAAAATGATAAAAAGGTAATTGCAACATTTATCTCACAATTCAGACTTTTCTCTTGCAAATTCTGTGAGGTATAAACTCGGAATCAAAGTCCGAATTGTGAGATGAAAAGTCGCAATTGCCTTTATTTTTTTTATTCCATGGCAGAAGCAGGCTTTCATGTTTTGTAGACCTAGTAGATCTGAGTTATATTTTGCTTGTTTTGCAGGTAGGTCTCATGGCATCCTACATTCTGTGGGCTTTCTCTCACAGTTTTACAGTTTTTCTGCTGTCTCGAGTGGTTGGAGGAATTTGTAAAGGTAATGTCAGCCTGTGCACTGCTATTGTTGCGGACCTGCCTTGCCCTAAAGCAAGAAACAAGGGAATGGTGAGTTATGGTCACCATTATCAGCAATTAATGTTTTCAGGGCAAATTTTACATTTTAAGCTTTTATCTTTGGAGTCATTTGAATATTCCCTGGGTTTGATTTCAGGCAATGATCGGTGTTGCTTTCTCCTTGGGGTTCACATTGGGTCCATTAATGGGAGCATACTTTGCTCTGAGACTCAAAGACGCTAAGGTGTTTTATCAAGGCCCTGCCATGCTGGCTGGCCTTTTTTCTTTAGCAGACCTGCTTTTTATTTTCTTCATGCTGCCAGAAACTTTACAAAAGGTCAGCAAAACTTTACAAAAAGTCACATTGTGACTTTAATTATAATCACTTCCTGAATAGACTTCAAATTAGTTGTAATTGTTTACAGCATTGTAAATTCTGAATGTAATGAATGTTTTTCATGACTCGGGACATCAGAGTCTTCAGGTATTCAACAATCTGGAGATCTTCTTCACACTGCTGCACTTTTCAGTTTCACTGCTGTGAAAAGAACAGAGAATCCACCATCTGAACAAAGTGAGTGCATAAACTTTCAGCCAAGCTAAAAGTGTTCACTTGGATCAGGATGAATAACTGTCGCAGTAAATTGATTATTATTTTACTTTTTTCCGCAATAGAAATGCAAAATCTTAAGGTGCTTGGATTGGTTTACTTCACATATCTGTTTCTGTTCTCTGGGTTTGAATTCACTTTGAGTTTTCTGACACATCAGCGCTTCCAATTTTCTGGAAAAGGCTGTGGTTACTGCTTCTACACATCAGTTGCTTACACAACAGCTTTCAAATTGTAACATGATAAAGCACGGCATTGTCTTCAACTGATAAACTGTCTGTAGCAAATCTAGCTAATCGATTTTGAGTTAATGGCCCAACTTAAACCATGAGACGTGACTCATGAATTGTGGGTTTATTTGTATGTAGGCATTAGGAACAAGGAAGTTTGGGAGAATTTATTATGTAGCATAAACAACCAGAATGGGGGAAAGAGGACAAATGTTGAAGGCAAGTGTAGCTAACCCCTGGGATAATATACGATTTCAATTGACCAATTCACTCGTGTACAGACGTGTTTTGCTTAATCAGAAACGTGACATACTGGTATCATTGTGTGTGTATCATAGAGCAGCTGAATCCTGTGGTCTTGCCTGAAGTTTTTCAAATGAAACCCTTGTCTTCTTCTGTCGTAGCATGCAGCAGGGGAAGATGTTCTTTTTCATGGGCATTACCATGGCAGTGATCCAGGGCGGATATGCCCGCAGGATCAAACCAGGCCATCAGATCCAGACTCTTAGCGTGGTAAACTCTTTCATGCATTACTGGATCACGAGTCAATTAAAATTTTCTGGCAATTTTCTTGGAACGCTGAAAGGATTTTATGTTTAACTACTCAAAGGCCTGTTACATGTTTGTTTTCAAATGTGTGTATTTCAGGCAATTATATCACTTATACCAGCGTTCTTGCTCATTGGAATAGCATGGAATTTGACACTACTCTATTCGGGCTTATTTTTGTACTCTTTTGGTAAGCAAGTGTGCACCTGTCATTATTATTATTATTATCATCCAAATAAATATTTACTTGTATTTTTGTGTATTGATATTTTAATTTGTAATAATAGTTTTGTTTTTTTTCAGCTGCTGCTATTGTTGTTCCATGCCTTTCAACACAAGTGTCTGGACACGGTGGGATTTTTTTTTCTAGTTTTGTCTAAGATTTATTTTCATAAGCTAACCATTTTGTAGATTTTAGACCAATGGTTCACAAAAGAATATATTTTTAAGTATGGCGTTATGACTAGTTTTGTTTACTATGCTGCAAAGATTACAAATGATGACAGAATTTTTATTTTTCAGATTTTTATTTTGTCTCTCTCACACCACTTTTAGTTTGAATGTATTTGTAGTATTGATGTCTATGCTGGTTTGTTAGGCTCAGCCAGTCAGAAGGGAACTGTAATGGGAATCCTTCGTCTTGGAGCTTTAGCTCGAGCACTGGGCCCTATTGTGGCTTCTTCAGGTAAAAAAAGGGAGGGGGGCAAAGTTATATAAATGTAGATAAAATATTATACATATGTATGTATGTATCTTAACATGATTAATCAATTAATTATGTAAACAACACTAACAGTAACTTACGATTGTAAGAAAATCATTTATCTGTACCTTTGTTTGTTGCAATTTACAGCAAATCATAACATTATTTTACTTTGTTCCCAGTGTACTGGTTGGCTGGAGCAGAATTATGTTTTATAATCAGTTCAGCGTTCTTTATAGTCCCTCTGGTTTTACTGAGTCGGCTGAGGAGACAGAAGGAGGAATGAGATTGAGAGTTTTAGGATTCACGCTTGTGTCATAAGAGGGTCAGACCCACTGAGCTATAATAGAGAGTCTTTCCATATAGATCAGTGGTCAGACCTCTTTTTCCTTTCTGAAAGCATTAAAGCCCACTGAAGAAAGTTCCTCTAAGTAAAGTGTTTACAAGGGGGAAAAAATATTAAAAAGTACTTGTGCTTATGAAATTGGTTTATTTCACTGTTAAAAAACAACAGACTGTAAATAGTAAAACAATATTTCATGAATGTATTTTTACAACACTTAATCAACAGATACAAATGTTTGTGCTACTGTGTCAGTGGGTGCTACTGTTTTATAAGAATGACATTATATATTTGGTTAATATTGCTGCATATGCACACCGATATATATATTGTGGATACTGATTGTATCTTTTCAATCAGATTTCTAAAAAAATAAAATAAAGATGATTATTGTCAACTAGAATGTTTTATTTATCTTTCTTTTTGTATTAATTTGCATGATAATGATTTTTTTATGATGATGATATTTATTAATGCAAATTCAAGAAGAAATAAAAACATACAAGCAATTATATTAGTATTTTTATATTTTTTATATTTTATTTATTAGTATTTATTATATATAGTTGTAGAAAACATATCACTGAAATAATATTGTAAAACGTACTCTAATTGTTTTATTTACTACTTCTAAAATATCTTTTTACAGTATAGATGTTTTGATCGTTTTAATAATGACAGACATTGAAATTGTACCTAATTCAATTCTTCCTTAAAGACATTATTGTTTACATTTCATATATTTACATTTATGAAGGTAAAACTTAATAACTTCAAACTTAAAAAAAAAAAGTATATGCATAAACTTTGCTAAATTTTGTCCATATTCCTGTAATTAAAAAAAGAATAAAAAGAATATAAGATAAAGAAGAATCGCCTCCTAAAACATTATTTGCCATGCCATGAAAATCACATATTTTTCCTAGGTTTATTTTAGATACTGAGAAAAATAACTACATAATTTTTTTTTTATAAAAAATAAACAAAACTTTTATTTTCGTAGAACATTAAATAATATAAAATATAATTTAACTTATATATTTTGTTAAGCAGGTTGTCAACTACATTTTACCTCACATTGCAACCCGTATGTTGAGTAATGTCTTACTATCAGACCACCCTTCACAATAAAAGTCCCCCGCACCGACTGATCTTGTTGTCAATTTTGAGCTTAATCTTTAATTATTTGGCCTACCCGTTTTACATCTCAACCGAACGGAGTAGGTCTTTTTCAAATGGAGTTTGTTATAGGCCGGAAGGTATGATATATTTTACTATTTGTTTATTTTTTTTTACATAGTTTACCATGACTGTGTTTACACTAGCCCAGATGTCTTGTCTAACGTTACACGAGCTATGTAGAAATCCCATATAGTTTTTTAATCCGACACAGAAAAGCTGCTGATAGCTGTCGACAGCTAAACATGTGACACACTGACCCTCTATCATGTTATTTCACATGTAAGGTTTAAACTCACATGTTTAAGTTTGATTCAAATAAGTTTGCATGATATCGTAGCTGGCTGCTAACCGATCCAATGTCATCTCCATTACGACAGCAGTCCTGCAAAAGCCTTATATACATTTACTTATGAACTCTTAAAATAATAAACGTCGGTGTGTAACTAATATTAAACCGTGTTTTAACCGTTGGCCCTGAAAGTGACTGGTTGAGTGGATTATGACACAAAACTGTTACTGAGCGGTGTTTAGTCTTTAATTTGGTTGCTGCGTCATTATTTGTCATTTACACATGGATTCAGCATCGTTTGTTTAAACATAGATTTGTTCACTCCATACAGTGATTGGTTGTTTTATTATTCGACTTCATTTCAGCTCAAGCATGTTGTCTTATCACCAGTCTGTTCTTTGAACCTGTCTCTGTGCTCTCAGATAATGAAGGCTGGAGTTTTGGATCCTCTGAAGTTGTTTGATTCATAGCCTTCCATAGCAAAACAAAATGGAGGATCATTTAAAAAGGTAAAAATAACTGACAATGTGGAATCTTTATTTACCACTTTAATTATTTATTTTTTTACTTTATTTACCAGTCAGAGCAAGCCAGCATTGAGAATTGATTGATTCGTGTTCCAGTTAAAGCCTCAAAAAGTGTTGGATTGCTTAAAATGTATGAATTTCTTTGCATTATATAAACTATCAAACCAAGTGCTTTCTGCAGATGTGACAGACCTTCAGAACTAGCTTCACTTTCCCAGGGAGACCCGTACATGACAAGGAGGGTGGAAGAAACAAGATATAGTGGCCAAAATTGATTTTGTTCCCTTGTTTAGGGTAAATTGTGGCCATGAAATTAACTAAAATTAAATA